TCTGTCAGTCTATGTATGCTTGTGGGTGTGTGTATATATATATAAGTCGGTTGGGCTCGTATTAGGCCGACCTCACCAGGTGGACATACTCTTTGTTCGAATATGTAATTTTCATTAGAAAAAGGTCATACTTTAAAAAAAAAAAGACAAACACAAATATGGCATTTTATAAGTATGCATTATTCTCCAAATAATATGACAGCTCGCATAATGACTAGATTGTCTCACACAAGAATTTGTGATTTTAAGTTACATGGCTTCCACTGGAATTGTACTGTGACAGGGTTAAACCTGAAATTTAGGCCTTATAAAATAGTTTAGTATTAATAATGGGTTGTTTTGTTGATCATGGGTATGATGATGGTGTGGCAGCGTGGATTTGAGGAGCTTGGTGGAGCATAACAAACAGAATTTTATTCCACCGTCTTCTCGCATGACCAATTACGTGGTTTTGAGATTCGGTGATTTCAATCCTCTGCCTAATGTAAGTTGTTACATTCATGTTTGTTTATTAGTAAATTGGAGTTGCAGTTTTCTGATCATATACAAGATGCTTACTTCAAAAGAAAAGTCTTTCTCAACAAGATCTCTTATTCGTTATAAAAATTTCAGTTTATTTGAATACCATGCATATTGGTAATTGATGGCAGTGAGCTTATTTCGTTTTGGTTTCATGGTTAATAGTGAATTATTGGTGTTTCAGGGTAGTACGGATTCTAGTTTATGCGGAAGTCAGTGCTGTTACATTGTAGTTTTCCAGTATGGCTCGATCGTCCTATTCAATGTCTGTGATCATGAAGTTGACGATTATTTGAAGATTGTAAAGAGACATGCTTCGGGGTTGCTCCCCGAGATGAAAAAGGATGGTAAGCTTGTTCGTGAAAATAACTGGATTTACTCGGTGGACTGCTCACTTTACTAACTTATATATAATTGTATGGTAGATTGACTAGATTCAATTGTTAAACTTTGAGTGTATGAAAAGAGAGAAGAGATTTCAATGACAACCTGTAGTTTTTTGCTTCAAAACTAACAGAGTATAAAAAATATAGGTCCTACATTTAAATTTATTTATCTTGTGGCTATTCCAACTTTATCGTGTTTCTAATTTCCACCGTTCTCTTATCTTAAGAAAGAATAAGCTATTTGAATAACTGGGATGTACCTT